TGTACTAAACATTGTCATCACCATGTTAGTATTGACTTGTATTGTCATCAGCAATATAGATTGTTTCTGGTATTGAGTAAAGCCTATGGAAACTGCAGGTTGTTGTTTTGGAGGGTGATGTTATAGAGAATGGTTGTTTTCTTCATATATATATATATGAAAACTCTAGAAAATCAAATATTTTGAAGCGCAGTATATATTTTTCATAATTTGTGCTAAGTATTTGGTTTTATAGCTTCATACCACATCAATGAGATTTATGTGAAAATTTGTGTATAGTAAATTAGCAAGCGCTACATAATTGTCATCTTTTTTTTCTCGAACAAAATTAATATACTTAGCCTGCAAGAAAGAAGAACATAAGATAATATCTCATTATAACAAAAGTATCACAATTAAGAGAAGATGAGCTCTAATGTTGATCATTAACAGTTCTTGTAGTGTTTTCTCTTATCCGTCGCCACAATTGTGAAACACAACATAAGATATATGTTGTATCTTGTAGTGATCTTCACCACCTTGGATTAACTTATCCTTGAATTCATTCTCCATCCATCCATCAGGAAGACTCTTCAACTTTCTACAGTCATTGATCTCAAAATGGCGAAGACACGGCATTGACTCTTCTTCTACGATCCACTCTTCAAGATTATCGAGTATCGAAACCTCTAGAGTATGCAATTTAGGGAACCCGCCTTTCGAGCATAACATTTCCTCCCTGTGAAAGCATTCATTTCTAGACTAACAATCTTCAAGCTGTGTAGCTTCTCGAGAACTGGCATTGGATCCTCGGGTAGGTCACAAGAGGATAATGAAACAGAGGCAATCCAGGAAGGGAATTGAAGTTCATTAGGTAACTTCTCTATCTTTATATGTAACCTTAATTGGTTAAGTCTTTGGAAACCAGAAACAAGTGCTCCTGCATCGATTTTCACGGGTTGGACTTGGCCGCTTCTTTTGTTGTACAACATCAATTCCTCCAAGTGTTTCAATGATGCACCAAGCGACAAAGGTAAAACTTCCTCTCCAGGGTTATCGGAGGCACAACAGATCCACAAAGTTCTGAGTTTGGATATATTGATGAGATCTTTGAAGCTACTGTGCTTTAGTGAGAAGTTCTTGAGGCTCTCCAACTTCACTAAACCACTTAATTCCAGCTTCGTTTTATTGCTTAGTTCATCGGGTAACATAAGATATCTCAGCTTCTTCATCTTCTTTAAAACATTTGGTATGTGAACCATTGTCTCGTAAATCTCTAAATCCAGATAAACCAACAGCACTAGATTCCCCAGAGAATACGGTAAGACAGACAAGTTTGTCTCTTTCAAACTCAGGTACCTCAAGTGGATGAGCTTCCCTATGCTCTTAGGTAACTTGCGTCTTCTGAACTGAGCTCCAAAGAGATCTAAGACCCTAAGTGATCGTAAACCTCGAAAACTCGGGGTTGATAATATCCAAGGACTGAAATCTCTAGTGATATACAAAAGGGTCCTTGCTTTGGGGTTTTGAATCTGCCTCTGCTGAAATATACTAGGTTCGTTATCGTCATCATCCACCAAATGTACAGCGAGTCTGCGGGATCTGGTGGTGGATACAGGTGATAGACCGCTAGTAGCATTCGAAATACGGCTCTGAGCACTGATAACTTGTATGAAATTCTCTTCTTTGGCTTTAAACATACATACTTCTCTAACAACGTCATGCAGACGACAAGATTCGATTCTTGATGTCACAATGTTCCTCTTCCCTACCAAAACCATACTCCTCTTGACCAACTCCTCGAGGTAATCCTCTGCAACATCTACAATAGTACTCTCTTCACTATGTAACATCACTATTCCTTCTGCGACCCAATAATTGAACAATGTCTCTGTTTGTATCTCATGATCTTCCGGAAAATGTGCTAGGTATAGGAAGCAGTGTTTCAAATGAGAAGGTAAATCTTCATAACTCAAAGATAGCACATTGAATACCAAACTACTACTTCCACCATTTTCACTAATATCTCCTGCGATATGAGATCCTATATTGTTGTGTACCTTTCTCCACTCGGACACTGTACGTTTTGTAGCTAGCAACCCTCCAAGAGTTTTCACAGCTAAAGGTAACCCTCCACAGTGTTTGAGCATTTGTTGGATCTCTTCCGTTAAATCATCAATCTGAAACTCTACAAACAAAACATAAGATTCTCAGTTCATTGTTTTTTTTAGCATTTGGATACACACTAAGTTCTTTCAGTTATATCCTCGGTTTCTTGTATACTTAAGGACATACCTAAATCGTTTCTCTCAGTCAAAGCTATCTTTCCGAAAACTTCCCAGCTTTCTTCATGAGTTAAGCATCTAGGCCTAAAAACAACGCGTCTCGTATCTGGATGCAAACCAACACCTTCATTCCGAGAAGTGAGTAATATCTTGCTCCCTGCAAAAGTTGTCCATGTTCCAACATAAACACACAAAATGAGAAAAAAAATGCTTTTCTTTGGTACCATTTCATACCTACAACATTATGATTCATGGTTTGAGAGTCACCTGATCTATGTGAAAATCCTGGTTGTATAAGCTCCCAAGCTGAAGTGCTCCACAAATCATCAAGGACAATCAAACATTTTTCGGTTTCAAGTAGTTTAAAGAGCTCATCTTGGAGTCCAGACACTGTCATTTCCACAATTCTCTTTTCCTCATTCTTCGGCTTAAGGCTCTGCAATATCGACCTCCACACGTGCTTTTGCCTACACTCTTGTGAAACACACACCCAAGCGAATCCATTGAAACAACACCGCACCATCTCATGATGGAAAACTTTTCTAGCAAGCGCGGTTTTCCCGATACCGCCCATCCCGCATATAGAAACCACTTGAATACCATTATCTTCCACAAGATGATCCACTAGCTCTTCAACACTCTGCTCCACACCAATTAGGCTGCTTTCAGAAACGCTAGGAAAAGATGTTCCACCAATAACTCTTTCTGTATCTTCTTCTTCATCAACTTTATCAATGATCTCTCTCACTCCGAATCTCTCCATATTGTCTATAACCTTAGCGATCCTAGTGATTATGCTTCTGATCAGTAAACCAAACTCCTGATGAGAAAATGTGATGCAAGAAACTCTCTTTAAATGCTTCTTAATCCCTCTTTCTCTACCAAACTTCTCTTCGTTTATAAGAAAACTCTCGATGATATCTTCAGCATCATACACAATCTCAACAATCTCTTGAACACAATTTCTCACTCTCTCACTCTTACCTTCATTGGTTTCTTCTTCTGCATCTTTCACAAACGACTTTAGCCCTCTCAGATCGTTTTGTAGCTCGGTGACTTGTTCATGGACTCCCTTAAACCGATTGGATTCTCGAATTAGAAGCTCCCAAAGCTTCTGCAATCCAAATGCTACCACTGCGTCGGCCATTAATGCTCCTAAATCGAAGCTTCAAATTTATGAGATTCCAATGATTGCTTCAAATCCCTTTCTCTCTCTCTACCAAAATCCTGAGCTCAAATCGAAAACAGCAACAATTGATTAATTACCAAAACGAACATAGATCTCTCGAACAATCTCTAATAAAATAGTAGGAAAGGAAGCAAATTTTCAGAGAATAAATCGTTATCAGTAAATTTTAGTTCACACCCAGTAGAGAGGACATAAGATGAAATATAATTCTTTAAGAAATTTTGAACTTTTCTGGGGGGAAAAATTGAAACTTTCCATTACTCACCTTCTGTGGGAGATGAGATGAGGAAGAAGACGAGAGGACTTCTTCTTTGGTCAAATGTGCAACTTGAATAGTCAACGCAAAGTCAGCATTTGATTTCAAAATATTTTTAGGGTTGATTACATGTTTGGGCACTTTTTCATGTTTTGCTTGCATTCTAGACACTTTATGTTTTCTAAAGGCACTTTCTTAAAAATCTTTCTTCTTCTCTTTCTCATGGCCACGCCTCTGAAATTTCAATTTCCTCTTTTCCTCTTGACTTTAAGGAAAAAATTAACAAGTTTCTCGGAATATTCATCCCTTTTTTCATGGACGCAGATTTCGCAAACCATCACCGAAAACCACTGTAGGTTTCGCAACACCATTACCGGAAACCACCGTAGCTTTCGCAACACCATCATCGGAAACAACCTCTGGTTTGGAATTGAGAAGTGAAAATGCAATATACTGGTTTTGGGCTTGATTAGGGGTGATTATAGATGCAAGATTTTGTTGTCTTTAAAGGATATGTTGACTGCACAGAAGGTGCTCGCTAAAATGCCAAAGAGAAGCAAATTTTAGAATACCTTTCGTTAATCTATGGGAAGTAAGGAGTTGGAGGATCACCTTACATTACTGTTACTAACACCTTAAAGAAAGTAGACTTGATGATACTCTCTATACAAAAAACCATCTGGATATGAGTTGTATATGTTCCACATAAACAACACAAATGGGCAATGTTTCATGGTCATGTTTTTATTAGTCTGTAGCCACATAACAACACAAAATGGTCAGTGTTACATGGTCATATATGGATAATCCATGGTTAGTAGTAATTTCTTATACATATCAATACAATGTATCAGCTAAAATGGTTATTCTTGTAGATTATAATGGTTGAGACAATTACGGTGGTTCCACCGCCTAAAAGTCGAAGATCCAAGTAAGATCAGAGACGATAGCATACACGGTCTGACAAAAGTCTGTCTATCCATGTGTGACTGTCCACGGAGACAATTTTAGTGTATATGTTCTTGTAAGATAGTTATTTTGAATAAAAATTTGAAAACAG